TATTCTGACTTGTGTATGTCACGTGGGAATGAAAACTAAACTTCTATCAAGAACATCCTGTCCAATGAAATTACTATTAAAAGGAAAGGTTTTGTAGTTATGCTGATAATAACAAGAACAAATACTTCTATTGAATTTACCAAAGTTAACTTAATTAATTCTCACAGCTATCTCATGACAAGGCTACAATTGTAATCCCGGATTTAGAGATGAGGAAACTGAGGAACAGAAAGACTAAGTAACCTACCTAAGATCACACAGCTAATTAATGGCAGCTGGCATTAGATTTCAGAGACCATGCTCTTAGCCACTTTGCTGTCCAACATTTTGATGATTAGCAGACGCCATGTTCTTCCCCCATTTCTTACTTCAATTCCCAGAAGTCTACAATATGAAGGGTGGTTTGACTAAAACACATAATAAGTTCTTCAAATAGCCTATTTGGTTATTATTGTGAGGGGTGACAGAAGGAAGTGGGAATATTCAGACGGAAAATGAATCCTCAGTATTTTAATAAGAAACAGTTTAGATTATCATCCATTTTTAACACTGAATTTTAAGAATTAAATAATTTTTGTTCTAATGTCAAAAAATATGCCACACGTATTTTTAACTGTTTTTCACCATGGAAATGTACATTTGGATTCTCAAAATACTTTAAATCAGAGATCCTCATGCTCAGTCTAATTTTTCAGACCTATTTGTAAAATAATATGCTTTTTCTGTAGTCATTCAAAAGACATAGTAGGGTTCAAAGGTTGAAAAAAATGCAATAGTTGAATAATTCATTCATCCATTTAGCAAAACAGCTGAACATTTTAGGCATTCAAAACCTCCTGATGTTGCATTTATTGCCCATTGTCTTCCCTAAAACCCAAATTTTTCTTGAAAAAAGTTTAGCATTGTTTCTTTAACCAAGATCATTTGAGGGCTAATTCACTATTACAAAGAAATTCTCTTGGATTTCAATCTTAATTTCTGTATAGGGACTGACAAAAAAGATCCCAAAGACTTAAAAACAAAATCAGTTATAAATTGCTTTCCTTTTCTTTGTTATTCTGTTGTTCAGTCAGTTAAATAAATATTAAATGTCTTTGTGTAAAGCCCTACCATTGTGTTAGGAAACATATGCCAAAGGGTGCTGTAGGGCCAATGACAGTGTCAAGAGTGACTTTTTTGTTTGTTTTTCTTAATTATTACAAATGTGTGGTAGTAATTTAAGGTATATTTAACCAAAGCAGTTTTAATTCCAAGAAGGTTCTATTGATGGTTTACTCAACACCCACTCACATGTCACCTAGAGGCACCACAAATTTACTCTCAAGAATTGATGTCAAGCAAAGAGAGGCTTTATTCTGAAAATTAATGAAGGTCTACAAGTAATAGTGCTTGCTTAAAGTTTTTTGAAGATGCTCTTGTATATTATTCACAGAAGTTTCTTTTATCTTTTTCAGGCTGATATGTTTATGGGGACATAAAATCCATCAAGCTCCTTTTAGTAATATAGGCCATTGTTTTTAAAATAATATTCTTTAATCAATTTTGTGACTATATTCAAAACAATGGTGGAGAATTATCTCTCAATATTTAATGTGCTTCAAAGCTTCCTGGCAGTCCTTTCTGGCTATGATGAACACAGACTGAGCTGTTGTTTTTGATTAATCTTTTCTTTATATTAACCCAAGACATTACACAGATCTTTCTTGATGTATGGTGTTATGTGCCTAAAAAATCCAAAGTAAATTGAAATGATCATTAAGTCATAATACATATAACCTATCAAACATCATAGCTTACTTAGCCTGGACTACCTTCAACATTCTCACAACATTTACATAAGCTTATCATTTATTTTATAATAAAAGTGCTGAATATCTCATGTAATTTATTGAATACTAAAAGTGAAAAAAATACTAAAAGTGAAAAACAGAATGGTTGTATGGGTACAGAATGGTTGTAGGTGTACTGGTTGTTGACCTTGATGGTCATGAGGCTGACTGGGAGCTGCAGCTCTCTGCTACTGCCCAGCATCATGAGACAATATCATAGCACATACTGCTCGCCCTGAAAAAAAATCAAAATTCTATATTTAAAGTACATTTTCTACTGGATGTATATCACTTTCACACCACTATAAGGTCAAAAAATTCTAAACTGAAACACCGCAAGGACTGTACAGTTTTAAGAAGCACACAGGATAGTTCTTGAGCTCATTTTTTTTTTTTAAGATTTTATTTACTTTTGAGAGAGAGAGAAAGCACATGAGCTTAAGTGGTGGGAAGGGTCAGAGGGAGAAGCAAACTCCCCACCAAGCTGGAAGCCTGATGTGGGACTCAACTCTAGGACCCGGGGATCACAACCTGAGCTGAAGGCAGACACTTAACTGACTGAGCCACCCAGGTGGCCATGAGCTCATTTTCTACATCATAATTAATGTGCGTATCCAACAGACTCATTACTTCTGTGCAAGTCTTAAATCAATAGCCTTGATTTTCATCTCCATGCTATCCTACTTGATCACATTTTGCTTACTCTTTGCTTATGCTTGTTGCTTGGAAAACCCCTTAAACTGCGTTGAGATCGCAAATCAAAACACTTGACTGAGGTCACAAAACATCGAAAACAATTTTTTTTCTTATATTAGACTGTTTCAGAGCTGAGCTGCTAGAGTGGTCCCTGTGTTTGGAATTGCGATACTTTTACACAGGCCTCTTGACTTTTCTGTTTATTCTTTGAGAGGTCAAGAAGGTGTAGGCTTGCTCCATTTTGGTTTATAGTCAAATGGAAGTTACAGTGGATTCATTTCCTAAGTTTAGATGTGTTCTTCCCAGAGGATATTTAAGTCCAGATTAAAATAAGAAGAGAGTATTCCTCTTTCTTATTTCTCAATTGTATTTTCTAGTTTCAACTTCTCAAGTATGGGTGTTGAGACTGATGGTGGGGAAGGGGCTAGCACATGAACATTAGCTGTGTGGTGAAAGATACGACAGTCTTCTGAGAAAACCGCCTTCTCTGTAAAGGATTGAACACACACTCCAGCTGGTTTGCTGTCTGAATGCTGCCTCTTGGCAGAGTCAGGAGGGCACTGAGTGGTGGTCTTACTTACTGCTCTTGCCTCCAGCCTTTACTGGGCTGAAGTATGAGAAAGATCACTGTCAGCATCTCCACCTACTTCTTTCAGAGACTCTACTCCATGTCACAGAGGCTGTTCCTTTGCCTTGATGCCTAGGTTCCTTCAATCTTTTATCAATATCATCTTAGCAAATTAAGAGTCTAGCTTCTAGATGGGCTCTACCCCTGTTTCAAGGACTGATGCAGTTTCTTCTCTATTTGTATACCCCACTGGTCATTCTAGGGACTCACAGAGGTCCATATGCCTCTGCTCACAATGCCATATTGCCTAGAAAAAAAAATTATCCTCATGTCTTGACTCAAATAAAACAGAATGATGCTATCTTTTTAAAGTATTTATAGGAACAAACATATGTCATAGTTTTTCTCAGTGACCCTGATTCACATAAGACAAGAATTTTTTTAAAAATGTGGGATTGTTCAAAATATCCATCTTCATAGCAGTCCCAATCACATAAAGATTTAAATTTCACAAACGGTACCAACAGCTTGATGAGGACATCACTCTCCTACTACGGGGCGGGGTGGGGGGTGGCGCACCATCTGTTGCAATGCTGCAAATATGGAGTCGGGTTCCCCTTCCTTTTAAAAAACAGTATACATTGCAGCACCAACCATGTCAAACTTCTCAAAGTGAGTAATGAAAAAGAATCAAAATATCAAATCAACAAGTCTACAACCAGCTCCACATACTTGCTATAAATATTATTCTGAGGATCAAGTGTATTAGTCAGCTAGGGCTGTCATAACAAAATACCACAGCCTAGGTGGCTTAAATAGCAGAAACTTATATTCTCACAATGCTGGAGGCTTGGCGTCGAAGATCAAGGTATTGCCAGAGTAGAGGTCTGGCAAGAATTACAGACAACTGCCTAGTCTCTGTGTCTTCACCTGGCCCTTTCTTTGGGTGCACACATCTCTGGTGTGTCTTCCACTACCTGCAGGACACTAGTCCCAGTGGAGTCAGGTCCCACTCTTTTGATTTCACTTAACCTTAATTACCTCTTTAAAGGGATCTCCAAAAAATGTCACATTGATGATTAGGGCTTCAACATGTGATCTGGGAGAGGTGGGACACAGTTCAGTGCATAACACCAAGCTTGATGGGATACTGAAGAAAGAAATGATCCGTGAATAATGACTTAAGTGTAGTCCGTGTGTGACCATAATTCACTGACATATTTTAATCAACTCTTCCTTGTTCTTCTAGGGGAAAAAAAATCCATGTTAAACTCGTACTCATTCAAGTTTCTTCACAGAGGATTGTGGAGATTTTCTGTTTTTTCCTGAAATTTTCCATTATTTTCTCAAAATCTCCATTGATAGAACTCTAGGTATAGAATCCTATTTCCTGATCATTGTGTGGACAGAAGATGAACTTCCTGAAAGATTTGGAGAGGTTTTATGGCTTTTTCTTCTAATGTCTTAGAGTTAAAAAATAAAATATAATCTGGAACACAGAGGCAATGGCTAAAAGCACAATGTGTGGATAGCTTTGAATCTTAACATCATAACTACTTATCCCTACAAATGAGCTATTGTAGTAATGAGTTACTTGGTTCTAGGCCCACTCAGATTTTCTGGCCCATCCAGTTATTTTTGCCTGTCTCAGATTTGATTCTAATTCTAGTTATGTTCTCTATTCAGTCCTTTATAATTATTTTTCAATTTCTCCCTCCACAATTTCAGAATCAGGTATACTTCATGAATATTTACTTAATTAATTTACCCAACAAATGTTAATTGAACATCTACTATACACCAGGCACATACTCTAAATCTGGGGGCTTAGGATATAGTAGACAACAAAAAAGACAAAGGTGTTTGCTTTCCTACAGTTGGCATTCTCATAAAGGGAGTGGGGAAGCAGAACACGAACTGGAAGCTTAATAACTAATAACTGACAAAGTATGTATAAGGCAAAAAGTGCTATGAAAAAAGAGGGGTGTCTGAGTGGCCCAGTCAGTTAGGCATCTGCCTTCGGCTCAGATCATGATCTCAGGGTCCTGGAATCAAGCCCCAAATTGGGTTCCCTGCTCAGCAGGGAGGGAGCTTCGCCCTCTCCCTTTGCCCCTCCCCCACTGCTCATGCTCTCTTTCTCAAATAAATACATAAATAAAATCTTTAAAAAATAATAAAGTGCTATGAAAAAAGAAAAAAGAAGAGCAGGGCTCTGGGAGTATGTGTGTAAGAGGTGTGATGCAATTTTAAATGGAAAAGTCCCATTTAGCCTCTTCGAGAGAGAAATATTTGAGACAAGGTTGAAAGGAGGGCATGGAGCTAGCCAAGCAAATGTCTGTGGAAGGATTCAAGGACAGCAAAGGAAGTGGGTGTGACTGGAGTGAAAGGAACAAGAGGCAGAGGAGTCAAAGATGGGGTCTGGCAAACAAGAAATAGGGCAGGGAGACTGACTTTTATCAGGAGTGAACTGCAGCATCGAGGCAGGGCTTTTTTTTTTTTTTTTTAAGATTTTATTTATTTATTTGACAGACAGAGATCACAAGTAGGCAGAGAGGCAGGCAGAGAGAGAGAAAGGAGGAAGCAGGCTCCCTGCTGAGCAGAGAGCCTGATGTGGGGCTCGATCCCAGGACCCTGAGATCATGACCTGAGCCAAAGGCAGAGGCCTTAACCCACTGAGCCACCCAGGCGCCCTGAGACAGGGCTTTGAACAAAAGAATGATAAGGCTGATTTAAGATTTAAGAGACTACTCTGCTTCTGTGTGCAGAATCAACTGTGGGAGCGACATGGGACACAGGGATATCTATCAGGAAGCTATTGCAATAATTCAGGCAAGAGATCATGGTCTGGACCAGGGGGTGGAAATGGAGATGAAGCGGTCAGATAAATATTGAAGGGAGAGCCAGAAGACTCTCCTGACAAGTCAGTCTTGAGAATGAAAGAGAGAAGAACCAGAAATGACCCCAAAGATTTTGGGCAAAGCAACCAATGTCCAGCCCTGGGTTTTCACTGCATTGTTTCTCCTTGTTCTTGACCACTTAAACTGTGATCACTCTATTCTCTCGTACTGTTTACTTAGAAGATCAGGGCCCTGTGCTCTCTACATTTTCATGGACAGAAATCCCCTCCCTTCCTTCCCCCTGCACCTCCAGTTCTTGCCCCAATCCACTCCATCTCCAATTAATCTACCCATTCCTGCAGCTGCCAGCTGAATCAGCAGGTGTGGACTAAATGTCTGCTTTGACATTTCAACAACAAAGTTTCTCCCTCTTCTAGGGTCTCTCCCTTTAGGCTATAGCATGAGGACTGCTACTGTTCACCTCACTCATGGTAAGACAAATGAAGTCAATGTTAAGACTCCTTGAAAAAAATAGCTGTAACATTTCTAGGATTTTTAAAAGTTTAGCATGTGTTTCTCAAAAAACAAACATAAAAGGTCAAACATGAATGAGTTGCAACATCATCTGTTTGAAAATGTCAACAATGTACCCTTAGAGCTTTCTGGAATGTGACAAAGTTACTAGTTTCTCAGTTGGTGGAACAGGAATAATGATTTTTATGATCCATGCTTAACTTTATGACAGCGACTTTCTGATTTTCAGGGCATGCAGCAATTACTGGTAGGGATGGGAGATGATAACAAGGTTTGGTTTTGTTTTTGACAAGGGTTGTTTTCAGGAAGCAGACTCTTGGATACCATCCCCAGATAATCTAATTCACTACATTTGGACTGCAACGCAGGAATAACCTAGGAATATACATTTTCAACAGGCACTTCAGTGATTCTAATGGAAGTAATGCTGGTACCACCCTTCTAGAAACATAACTATGCAGGATTAGAGCTGAAGTTAATCACAAAATGCCATAGCACCATGGCACTAAATGCTCACTTTTTTAGAAAATGTTATGCTTTTTCCAGAACACAGCTGTACACTTTGGTGAAGAATTGCTTGCTATTGCTTTTGGCCATAAGAATATCAAGAATTATTTCTCCGGTGGTATTTTATTTTTACTACTGGTGACCTATTTCTTCCTAGACATTTTTCTAAGCCTAAATCCACATTTTTACTTATGGCAGTATATAAACTGAGTTTGGGTATGTTTCCCCAAGCATACATTATATTCATTTTTGAATAAAACTGCTTGGAAGAATGATACTGGAGATTCAAAAACATCTGCCATTGTAGATCTCAAACCTCACTAGGAAATCTCTCTAGGGGTTTGATACTGGTGATCTTCCCAACTCACTTTTGTGGGCTGATAAAACTGTGTCTTAGGGAAAAGGGTTGAACTGTGGAAGAATCAGAGGGGGGCACTGACTGGGAAAGATTCTTAAACCAGGTTGGCTTGTATATTTTAGATATTAACCTCTTACCAAATGTGTGGTTTGCAAATATCCTCTCCCATTCTATAAGCTGCCTTTTCAGTTTGCTGAGGGTTTCTTCTGCTGCACAGAAGTGTCCTAGTTTGATGTAGTCCCACTCATTTACTTTTGCTTTTGTTGCCTCTGCTTTAGTGCTAAATCCCAAAAATCATCACTAAGATTCATTTCAAGGAGTTACCCCCTCTGTTTTCCTCTGGGAGTTTTATGGTTTCAGGTCTTAACATTAAAGTCTTTAATTCATTTCGAGCTGAATTTTTATTAGTTATTAATGAGCCCTTTTTACATTTCATCTCACAGGCTTCAACTTTTTAATCTCAGCTTTATGTCTTTTACATTTATGTTTTTGCCGACTTCTAGCCTACTTCAGTCACCCCAAATCTTATTCATTTTATTCTTTTTCATTTTCATTTTTTATTTTAATGGAATTTTAAGTATCATATTTATTACTTCATTACTTCTTCTCTAAATCTTTTCTTGCAATTTAAAAACTCTACTCCTAATCTCTCCTACTATTATTTTTAAGTTTCTTGTTCTCATAGATTTCAGACTTATTTCCTCTGGACAGCAAATACGAGAGAACCTACAGCAATGTGCGTGGGGTAAGGTCTTCTTTCACTTTGCTGACTTTCTGTATATTCCCAGAGCATCTCTGAGTGTTGTCAGAAAATGAAATGGGCGGTTTTTTCACACTACGCATCACTCAGAGTTTACACAGAGAGCTACTTGTTTTAAAATTCACTGAGTCTGACACGGAGAATCACTGAATGCAGAGGAAAAACATGTCAGTATTACAACCTCAGCAAGGAGAGACATTTCGGCAAAGGAATGGGGGAGGGTTTTAAGCTTCCAGCTTCACCTTGTGACGAGAGACCAGGTGGCATACAACCTGAAAAGAACTTTTGAGAAGATATTTGGGAGCAGATCCAAAACTAGATATCTGGTCTCACACGTATTTAGCTTGATTCTCGTGTTCTCAAGTCCAGATAATTTCTCTGTTCCTGACAGATTCATCGAAGGACCCTCTTGGCTGAGGTTTTCCTCAGTTCCCTTTTCTGGTCAGAGGAGAGTTTCGCTATGGGCTCAGCTGAGTTTCAGCTGGGAAACCACACTGATTTGTGAAGACTGATATGAGATCGGTGGGCATCAAACAGATCTGAGAACACAAATATAAGAAAGGGAAGAAGCTTGTCTTTGGTTTTACTGGATAAAGCTCTTTGGACCTGAGGAAATGGTGGAGGCTCCACAGATCCTTATCACCCAAATGGAAACTGGGATGTAATTCTGGAGGAAGGTAAAGAACTGGGCCTGAAAGCCCTCACTCAGTTCCCAAGGACTAAGCTACAACTGTGGGAATGTTTTTCCCTCACAGAACTATTATTGAATTGCACACTTCTTGATGAAGAAAAATTTCTTCTAAGTCACAGGCCTTATTTAATATTTTAGATCATATTGATTGAGACCTTAATATGCATGGTTCTAACGGTACATGGATTCTTTCATTTAAAATTTTGAAAAGTTTTGTTATTTCCATTTTATAGAGAAGGGAACAGGTTCACAAAGAGTTTAGATAATCTGTTCAGTATCACAGGCCTCAGGCATTCTATCTTCCCAACCTATACTCTAAAGTACTTGGTAATCAATTCTCTCAGCTTTTATTCTTCTGAAGATGTTAGTTTGTCATGCCTGGGTTTGACATATATATAAACCAGCTATAGAAATCTGACAGTTGTTTTCCAGCAAATACATGTTTGTTTTAATCCCTAATCATTGTCTCCGATGAGATTTTAACACCAATCTGTTATCTTTATTCACATGTATGCATCATGTGTTTTTTCCTTTTGCTGCTTTAAAAATGGTCCATCTTAATTTACAACAATTTGACCTAATGTATTTTTGTTTTTTCTTTGTATTTATCCTGCTTGGGGTTTGCTGAGCTTCTTAAATCTGTAACTTGTTGGTTTCCTTTTTAGTAAATTTAAGACATTTTTGGTCATTATTTCTTCAAATAGGTTTTCTGTTAGATTAGACTCTCTCTTCTAATATCATTAATACCTTAATATTGTTTCACCAGTCACTGAGTTTGTTCGCCTTTTCCACCTTTTAGTCTCCTTCCTTTTTGTTCTTCAGATTTGGTAACTTCTAGTAATGTCTTCAAGTTCGTGGCCTTTCTTTCGCAATATCCAACTGTTAAGCCAAGTCAGTAGATTTTTTATGATAGATTTTTTTTATATTCTTGAAGTTCTATATTTTTATAATGTCTATCTCCTCAAACTTCCATCTGTTCATGTTCCAAGATAGTCTTATCCTTTAAATCTTTCTATGTGTGTATAATAGTTTTTTTTTTTTTTTTTTAACAGTCCTTGCTTGCTAATTCTAACATCTGGGTCATCTTAAGATATTTTTCTATTGACTGCTTTTTTCTTTTCTTTTATTTCTTTATTTTTGTATTTTCTTTATCTGTTCTCTTTATTGTATTTTTTTGCACATGAGATAAGTTTTTAATTACTGGACTTCATGAATGTTGTAGAGTCTGGATTATGTCATCTTCCTTTCTATTTTTTTCTATTTTACATCTTCCTTTATAAGTTTTGTTCTGTCATACAGTTAAATTGATAAAAAAAAAAGTCCTCTTGATGCTTACAGGTTTGGTTTCATTTGGATTAAAGCTTGTCTGGTTCAGATTTGAGCTTAGTTGTAATAGTGTGATCCTTACTCTGAAGCCATGGTCTTTTAGGGCTCAAGGTTCTTAGTGAAAATTCTTCACCCTGGTGGGGCTGGAACTCTGACATCTCCCAGAATGGCACTAGCTATACTATCATCTTTCAGCCCCTGCCTTGCAGCACAGGTCTTCTGCTACATTTTTAGAGTGTAATTCTGCAGATGCACAGCCTAGCCCGGGGCCAAGGGCCTATAATGTACCCCGCACAGCCTCCCGGACTCTGCCCAACTCCCTCCGATGCAGAATCCCCTTCTCTCTACCCTGCCCTGAAATTTCCAGCCCCTTCAGCAGTCCAGAAATTAGATGTTGGATTCCTTGGTTCAGCAAGTCTTTATACCATGCTTGCTTTTCATTTTTCCTTCTCTGTGTCAGGAAAGAGCCTCCAGCAGAAGACCAGGGTGATTGATTACCTCACAAGTGTGATCACAGTCTACTACTGCTTGCTGTTTCATGTCTAAAAATAGTTTCTTTGCATATTTTGTTCAACTGTATAGTTTTTCTTATTGAGAGAGTTCCAGCTACTTGATTATGGCTGGAAGCAAAAGCCTAACATGTTTGGTTTTCTGAAGATTTAAAGTATTTACTTAGGCTGATTACTTACAGGTTTTGTGATGAGTTTCTAAATACAGGACTTAGAATTCTCATCTCTGGCTATTAGAAGAAGAAATTTTCCTAGAGCAACAGTAGTTGGTAATCATATGTATCAGCTCTTGGGGGTCATTACTGAGTCCATTTATTCATTTATTCAGTGAACA